CACAAACATATATGAAAAAAAAAAAAAAAAAACTAAATGTCTTTATAAATATTAAATTATAAAATGTTGTTGTTAAGTGCCATGAAGTTGGTTCCGATTCACTGTTACCATCTAGGATTTCCAAGCAGTGGCTGGTGGTTATGAACTGTCGATCTTGTGGTTCAAACTGATCTTGTGATCCAATGCTTATACAAGAAGAAAATCTTCATTTTCAGCTAAAATTTGTTTTTGTCAATAGTTAAGGAATCTAGTCTTCCCTTAATTTTCTTTCTCCAGATCAAAAATTCAAAGTTCTTTCAGCCATTTCTAATATTAATTGGTTTCCAGATGCCTCAGCATTCCGGCCAGCTTAAAACTAGTTGTTATTGAATCAATTCCAACTCATGGTGACCCTAAGTGTGTCAATTGTGGTGCCTTGAATTTACTTGATACAGCTTTTCTAATTCAAAGTCATCTAATTCCTACCAAGTGAATGGGCGGGACCATGCAAATAAGGTATATAGGACTCTAAAGCTATGATGGTTACTTCTGCCCTCCAGCTAGGCTTAAAAGGCGCCATCTCACAAGCACAGATGGAAAATCCCAGGACCATCAGTAAAGAAAAGCATGACTTAAGTTTAAGGAGGTAGCATGGAGTGACACAGCAGCTTCAGGCTTTAGGCCCATGGACTGAGTAAAGCTGAGTACCTACAGGCAGGAGACTGGCTTGTAGAATGTGCCCTTTGAGCATTCACAGACAGGCTAAAAGAACTCTGTAACACTTGAATAAGCAGGGCAGAGACCAAGGGGCCACATGGCTGAGAGGCTGAAAATAAGAGTGTGGCATGCCTGCCATATGGCAAGCAAGTGGTGTTCCTAACTGGAGAACTGCTGCATCCTAAGTTGGTTTTGATCCTGAATTTTACCCTGTTCGCTTCCCTAATAAACCCCATAATCATGAGTACTGTACTGAGTTCTGTGTGGCCACTGCAATGGATTATGGAACCCAGATGTGAAGCAAAGAGGACTGTGGAAGGGATGCTTGGTGTCAGAATAGGGTAAAGAAATTTGCAGGGTAGAAGCAAGTCTGACCTCCATTTCATAGGCTGACTTTGAGTTTCATTTTCTTTTCCTCTTGTGAAGCCAAAGGTAGGCAGACATGTCCCCACATGGTCTTTTCAGAGTATGAACTGTGGGCCATAAGCTTTATAACAGCTGATTTTTCAGAAACAGATCACCAGATATTTCTTCTGAGGCACATCTCAATGAGCTCAAACCTCCAACCTTTTGGTTATTATTCCTTTGTCTATCCTAGTCAGCTTAGAGGATATGTACTCTTGTTTCTAATAACTTTTTAAAAGTTGGTACACAAAATAGAAAACAACATTCAGAATGTAATTTGTGGGGGAAATATATTTATTACTTATTAATTCATATTCCTCAAAAAGTAACAAAATATAGGTAATCAAAATATTGTTTTCTATATATAAATACTTGGAGTCCTGGTGTTGGCACTGTGGGTTAATGCGTTGGACTGCAAAGTTGTTTGAATCACCAGGTTGGCAGTTCAAGCTCACAAAGCTACTCCTTGGATACCCTATACAGGGTCACTATGGGTTGGAACTGACTCGGCAAAATTTAACACCACCAACAACAACATATATAAATACTTTGTTTCCTTGAAAATGAAGGTTATAAAAAACTTTTTCCTGATATCTGAAGAGAGAAGATACATTATAACAAGCCAAAATAGAACTTAAGGCAATGTTATAGACTGAATTGTTTTCCCCAAAACATGTTGAAATTCTGTTCCCTATACCTTTCAGTCTGCCTCAGTTTGGAAAAAAGAATCTTTGTTACGTTAATGAGCTCTGGTTAGGTGGGTCCTACACTTAATCCCTCTGATTGCTATCTTATAAAAAGGAAAAACAGATGAGATGAGAAAGACACACACACAGGGAAGACACCTAATGAGGAACCCTCTACAAGGAACATCAAGAAGTGACCCTGATTGAACTTCTAGACACCAAAATGGTGAGGCAAAATGCTTCTGTTCCCCAAAACCATCCATTTGTACAATTTTTGTACAGTAACACTAAGTAGCCAAGACAGAATTAATTTTACTATAAAAAAACATAGCTTACTTGAACATCCACAGTGTAGTCATCTTTTAGTTTATGTTCTTCTGGAGAAACAGGTAAATTTGATCCCACTTTTTCTGAAAATTCAGCATTAACAGGTTCCTCTCTTTCAGCCTATATTGCAACAAAAAAGAGTAACTGAAAAAATGGTTTCACAAAACAGTCCTAAAGCAATATTAAATAACAGCTGTGTTTATACACTAAGAAATAGTCTTATAAGCATTTTATTCTAATTACTTACATGTTTGTCTTCTGTCTGCACGTCCCTCATCACTACAATTAAAACATACGTACAAGAATCCTACTTGATTTTTAAATAAGGAATGTACTGCTATCACGGAGTTAGGCACATGGATAATTTTAATATATAGCTTATAAGTAAATGCCCATAAAGCACATCTGTCTCATTGTCTCTTTTGGCACTAATTCACTTTCGAGTTAGCAATTCAGATATCTATGTTTTCAAATGTCTCTCTTAAGGTGTAAGTTTCATAAGAATAAAGTTCATATTTAACTGTGTATCTAAGCCTTTCTAGCATATAGTACATAAGAAATGTTTACTAAATAAAATGTTTTCCTCCCTTGGTGTTTCACATTAAGTTTATTACTACATTATTTTTCAAACTTCTCATAGAGGAAGTAAAAGAGCTGAACAGAAAATTTCAAAGGGCAGTTCAAGAAGACTAAGTCAAGTGTTATAATGAAATGTGCAAAGACCTGGAGTTGGCAAGAGGTCGGGTCCCCTCAGAGCAAACCCCCTTCCAAGACTAAGACTCAATGGGAATTCACGCTGTGATTGGTGACCACATTCGTCATCTATAAGGGGAAGTACGGGAAAAATAGCAATGAAGCTGTGAGCTAAGCCCTACAATGTTTAATAGACTCCTATGAACCCGGGTGGAGCCATGGTTGGCCAGCAGTGTGGCAAGACCTGAGGACTCTTGGGCCCACAGTCAGTGACATCTCCACAGAGGACTAGAGTGGAGAGTGAAGCATCCAGCTATTAAGAAGAGAGGTCATATGCACAAGAACACCCACACTTGCAGATAATACCCACTTGACTTGGCTTCAATGACTAGATGAACAGAGCTCAACCAGAAGAAGAAAGAAGAGGAAAAAAAGAGCACTCTGCTACAATTCGATGAACTTGACCTACACCTATGGATGCAGTAGCTCAAAAGAAGGAACAAATCTTTACAGCAAGGATCATTCCGACCCTCTCCATACACAGAGTAGACAGAGACATTGGCTACCCAAAGTGGTGGTGGTGGTGGGGGGGGGTGGTAAAAAAGGCAAGAAGTGACTAGCTTACAAGCTTTCAAGAGGGAACCTAGATCCAGAGGGCTTGGAGGAAAGTAGAATCTCCACTGAGTAGTATCCAATCTGTCTTGGTGGGGTTGATGAAAGAAAATGCAGATAGGTCTCTTGTGATAACAATAGTGAATAATTGTTATCAGGACTGATTGTGAGGGTTGCAAATGTAAAGGTACATGTTTTGTATCAAGTCGACGTTTTGTAGCAAGTGATTAACTTCGCAGTCCAGGAGCTAGGCACAGAGGTCCCTGGGACCATCAAGGGAAAAAAGCAGAGAGCGGGACCCTGCCCAGAGAAGCAGTGATGCCAGAGATGGAGGCAGAGATGATGACGTGGAGAGATGGAGCAGCTGGGGACTTTAGACCCAGTGAGGGAGAGGGGCTGTGTGCTGATGACCATGGGGGGGAGGGGAGCAGGCTTGTAGGGTATACCCTTTGGTTGGCTGATGATGCATGGAGGGGATTGTAACCATGGCAATGAAACAATATACGATAGGATGAATGCAAAACTAATGCTCTACTATGTAAACTATCACATAATTCTCAATAAAACATTTTTTAAAAAAAGAAGAAGATGATGGAAGGTATATATATACAGAATCACTGTACCAAAAAGAAATGATCATTGATCAAGCAATCCAAGAGGAGCATATTATCAAGAACCGATGGTACTGAAGGAAGAAGTCTAAGCTGCACTAAAAGCATTGGTGAGACACAAGGCTCCAGGAATTAACAGAATATACAAATTGAAACCTTTCAACAAACTGATGCAGCATTGGAGGCACTCACTCATCAAACATCACCAAGAAACTTAGAAGACAGCTACCTGGCCAACTGACGGGAAGACATCCTTATTTGTGCCCTTTCCAAAGAGAGGTGACCCAACAAAACGCAGAAATCATCGAACAGTATCATTAATACCAAATGCAAACAAAATTTTACTAAAGATAATTCAAAAATGCCTGCAACTGTACAGTGACATGGAATTGCCAAAAACTCAAGCTCAATTCAGAATCAGTTGGGGAACTAGGGATATCACTGCTGACATCAGATGGATCCTGGCTGAAAGTAGAGAACAATAGAAAGATGTTTACTTGTGCTTTATGTGTGTATCATGACAAGCTATGCAAAACATTGTGAAGAACTGGTATTCCAGAACACTTGATTGTGCTCCTGAGGCAGGCAGTCATTCACACAGAACAAGCGGATACTGAATGATTCAAAATCAGGAAAGGTGTGCACCAAGGCTGTATTCTTTCTCCATAGTGATTCAATCAGTACTAAACAAATAATCCAAGAAGCAGGATTATATGAAGAACATGGCATCAGGATTGGAAGAAAACTCATTAACCTAAAATAAAATACACAGATGCTACAATCTTGCTAGCTGAAAGTGAAGAGAACTTAAAACACGTACTGATGAAGAGCAAAGACCAAAAGCCTTCAATACGGATTGTATGTCAACAAACAGAAAACAAAAATCCTTCAATTGGGGCCATAAATAACATTATGGTAAATGGAGAAAAGACTGAAGTCATCAAAGACTTCATTTTTCTTGGATCTACAAACATTTATGGAAGCAGCAGCCAAGAAATCAAATGACATTACTTTAGATAAATCTGTATACAAGATCTCTTTAAAGTGTTCAAGAACAAAGAGATCAGTTTGATGACTAAGGTGCATCTGATCCAAGCCACAATATTTTCAATAGTTTCATATGCATGTGAAAATTGGACAGTGAATAAGGAAGATGACAAAAGAATTGATGCATATGGGTTATGGTATTGGAGAAGAATATTAAAAGTACAATGGACTACCAGAAAAATAAAGCAATCTGTGTTGGAACGCTCCTTAGAAGCCAGGATGGCCAGACTTCATCTCTCATACTTCAGACATGATATCAGGAGGGACCAGACCTTAAAGAAGAACATCATATTTGCTAAAGTAGAGGGTCAGTAAAAAAGAGAAAGACATGCCAACAAGATGAACTAGCACGTAGGCAACAGAAATGTGCTCAGTGTAACACTTGTGAGGATGGCAAAGAACCAAGCAGTGTTTCATTCTGTTGTGCATGGATGGGGTCACTATTGGTTGGACCCGATTCAATGGCACTCAACAAAAGCAACTTCCTCTCCCGTCCACTCCCCAAACACAAAGAAAAATCGTAATGTCTCAATATAATTGTAAATATATGTTGATACACCCACAATGATAGCTTGGAAACAATGCAAAAGTCCATCAATAAAGAAATGGTTAATAAATTATGATGTTGCTATTGTTGTAAGTGCCATCGAATTGGTTCTTACTCGTTGTTGTGTGCCGTGGAGTCGGTTCCAACTCATAGCAACCCTACACAGGATTTCCAAGGCTGTAAATCTTTACAGGAGCAGACCACCTCATCTTTCTCCCACGGAACCGCTGGTAGTTTCGAATTGCTAACCTTGTGGCTCACAGCCTCATTCGTAACCACTATGCTACCAGAGCTCCTTCTCATAGAGACGTTGTATAAGGTTCCTGAAGAGCAACTGGTAGTTTTGAACTGCTGGCCTTGTGGTTCAAAAATGGACTCTGTGGTCCAGTGTTTATCCTACAATGCCACACCAGGATTCCATCAACTATGACAGATCCATACAGTAGAATGAAAAGGCAGCCATTTAAATTTTTTTTAAAAGGTGTCCACACATCACTTGGAAAGTTAATTGAAAAGGGAGGTTACAAATTGTAAAATATTTATAAAACTTTAATGAAAATTAAAATAATAATTTGTATGTAGGAGCTCTGGTAGCGTAGTGGTTATGAATCGGGCTGTGAACCTTAAGGTCAGCGGTTCGAAACTA